GCCCAAGGCATGCTCTCAGACACGGACCCTGGGGAGGGCCGTCCCCCTCCCTCCCCACCCTCGGCACTGCTGTGCCTTTGGGAGGCAAGTTGGGGTGGTGCTGGGTGAAGCTGGTGGCTGGTGCTGCCCCTGGGGGCCTTATGTGCTGCCAGGCCCAGAGGACTCTTCCCTGGCATCACTCCGTATGCTCGAGCGGTGGTGCCCCTTGAGCAAGCTATGCTTTGTTCCCTTGCCGTCGCTGCCCAGGGCTAGAGCCGAGGTGACCACCGGCAGTGGAGACATGGCTTGGCTTGTCGATAGCAGCACCCATCCAATTTGGGAGGGGGTTTTTGTGACTTTCTCCTTTCCTCCTCTGTGCAGCGTCCTTGAGTCTGACCCCCAGTTCGGGTTCGAGGAGGCCAAGAGGAAGCTCCAAGGTAGGGCCGCCCAGCGCCCACCCTCTGCGGGGATGTGGGGAAGGGGGCACCGGGGGCAGCGAAGCCCCTCTGAGCTGGTGGGGGGTGAGGGCCGCTCCTCAAGAAGCAGGCAGCAGGCCGACTGCATCCCTGTGTCTCACAGAGCGGCCCTGGCTCGTGGACTCCTACAGCAAGTGGCTTCAGAGGCTGAAGGTACACGGAGCTGCCCTGACCTCTGTCCTGGGCCAGAACCTGCACTCGCAGATCGGGAGGCAGGGCCCCAGGGGTCACAGGACAGGGTGCAGGGGATGGACCCCAGGGGCATGGCGCCTGTGCCCCCAGTGCAAGTCCTAGGTCATCTACTCCCTACTCCAACCTGACTCCTGTGCGTCAGCTGACCTCAGGTCAAAGGTTGTTTGGGCCAGCGGTTCTGGAGGAAGCCCAGGCCTGCCCTGCCCCCAGCACCCCCACACCGCAGGACCGGCAGCCCTCGGCCCCAGGGATGGAGTGCAGAGGTGTCTGGACGCCTGGACGCACCTGTTCCCGACTGGACGTCCTGGTTTTGTCTTGCAGGGGCCCCCTCACAAATGTGCCTTAATTTTCGCAGATAACAGTGGAGTAGACGTCATTTTGGGAGTCTTCCCCTTTGTCAGGGAGCTTCTCTCTAGAGGGACGGAGGTGAGTGCCAAGGGCCACAGCGGGCCCCCTGCCTGGGCTCCTCCGCTCTCAGTGGGGTTGGCAGCACCATGGGCCTCCGTGGCAGGTAGGTGCGGGGGCCGTCGAGGAGCAGAGTTTGGGTCGTCTTCCTGACCCCAGAGCTGGCATGGAGCCACCGCCAGGCAGGACAGGTTGCCAGGGGTGGTGCCCCTCAGCCGGCAGCCCCAGGCGGGTAGGCGAGCCAGGCTGGCAGGGTGCCAGGCGGTGGCAAAGGCCCCTAAAAGCCTGGGCTCCTGCTGCAGGTCATCCTGGCGTGCAACTCGGGCCCTGCCTTGAATGACGTGACCTACAGCGAGTCCCTCATTGTAGCTGAGCGCATCGCAGCCATGGACCCTGTTGTCCAGTAAGCTAGGCAGAGGCCTGGGGACCCTGGCATGGGGCGAGGGCGGTGGGAGCCGGCTGGGGCACAGACCCAGAACACCAATCCCTTGTGCTTGGCAGCTCGGCGCTTCGGGAGGAGAGGCTGCTGCTAGTGCAGACGGGCTCCAGCTCCCCCTGCCTGGACCTCAGGTACTCGTGGCACCCCCAGTTCCCTGTGTGTTGGTGGGGGAGGGCGGCAGGAATCGGGGTCTTTCCTTGGGGGCCCGGGCCGGTGGGCTCAGGAACCTGTCAGCCGCACCACAGCCTGGGTCTGGCCCACGTGGGGTGGGAGAGACAGATGCCCCTGGGCTCCAGCTGGCCCGGGTGCCCCGCCTGTAGGCGAGGGGCCGTCTCCCCATGGTCATCCTTAGGCGGCTGGCTCAGCGCTTTGCTGGGGATTCCAGAGCATAAGAGAGCTTGGCAGCTGGAGCGAGCCCACGAGAAGAGGCCCAGAGTCTGGGCCCCAGGCTCTGTTTTGGGGTGCTTCTCCAGTGTTGGCTTCATCCCTTTTCCAGGCCCACTACCAGCCAACAAGGAGGGGCAATAAAAGCCTGGGAGAAGAAATAAGATCCTTTAACGTTCAAATAGAAAAGCATTAATAAGGCCCAGATTAGAACACTGCTGCCTTCTAGTAACAGTGCAGCGGGTGGGGTCCCCAAATTAGTGAGCCAGGGGGTGGGGTCTCTGCGCCATCACCCCGCCTCATTGTCACCTTCCTCCCCGAAGCCGTCTGGACAAGGGGCTGGCCGTGCTGGTGCGGGAACGTGGAGCAGACCTGGTGGTCATCGAGGGCATGGGCCGCGCCGTGCACACCAACTACCACGCAGCCCTGCGCTGCGAGAGCCTCAAGCTGGCCGTCATCAAGAACTCCTGGCTGGCCGAGCGCCTGGGCGGCCGGCTCTTCAGCGTCATCTTCAAGTACGAGATCCCAACCGAGTGAGGGGCCGGCCTGCTGGACTGTTCTGCTGGGCACCTGTCAGGAAGGCGTTTCGACTACAACAGGGAAACTGCGTCCAAATCAGAGTATTTATATTGCACTTCTGTGGCCCAGCCAGGTGTGCCCAGGTGGGCATGGCATTCGTGGAGCTGGGTTCGATGTCTCTTTAACGCGGCCGTGTTTGTGGTGGAGAGATGCAACTTTTGTCCCATCAGACATTCACATTGGAATATATTTAACTGTTAAATAATCTTTTATATATGTGCATATATATATAAATATAAATATATACCTCTCTCTGGCAGAGGCTCGGCATGCACAGTTTCTAGTGCCTTTGCTGCTTGGTCTCAGAGAAGGCAGCCCGCCGGGGAAGCCTTAACTCAGTCTGGGCACATCTAGGTGGGTCGCCTGCCTACCCCTTTTCCAGGGAAGCCAACAGTGTGGTCTTGCCTTTCAGTCACTTTTGGATCTTAGGCCTGCAGGCTGTGGCCAGTGCCCCATCATGTGGCACCCTGATCTCTACCACGCACCTCTGGCCCAGAGACAGGAAACTCCGCACAGCAGGTCTGAGAAGGTGGCCATCCCCCGTGTGTCCAGCCCTTCCCAGCCCCGCCACACACGGGAGGGATGGGGCGCGGAGCACTCCCGACTCAAGAGCCTGCTGGTGGCGGCATCGAGGGCCCTCCAGGGCTCTTGGGGGCTGGCGGCTGGCCCACGCTCCTGCTCAGAGCTGGTGAGACTGCATGCATGTTGTCTCCACAGCCTGGAGCCTGTGCCTGGAGCCCTGCCAGGGACAGGCGGGCTGGTAGGAAGCCCACTGGGCTGGCCGCGGAAGTGCTGAGAGATGGCGAGGCCTTCCTGCTGTTCTGGGCAGCTGGGTGTGTCCCTCGGGATGCAGACCACCTTGGAATGAGCCACCAGGCTGCCAGTTGGTGCACTGGGCGGAAGGGGGCTGAGCAAACTGCTTCTTAGGTTTGTTTATAGAGCTTGTTTCTTGGGAATGTGGAGAGCTCAGAGCAGGAAGCCCCCGTTACTGTGGCCCCTGGGGCCGTGGGGCAGGGCTGTGACTTGGGCACTGTGGAGCAGCCCCTGAGCTGTGAGGAGGGCAAAGCCAGCCTGGCCGTCCCCTGCCAGGACCTGAACTCTGTGCAGCTTTTAGTGCCACCACCACTCCTCTTCACCAAGACCCCTGCTGCGTTCTCTGCCTTGCTGGGCCACAGAAGCCTGGTGCCCTGGGCCCGTTGCAGGACACTGATGGGCGAATCAAGACCTGCACTGGAACCAGCCTGCGAGGATGGCCAGCCCCCTCACTGCCCCCTGCCTCTGGCACTCCAGCCCAGCCCACTCCCAGCGCTGCCTGCTGGTGGCTCCCAGACCGCCCCCAAGGCTCCTCAGCAGAACCAGGCCCAGCCCTGATGCAGGCGGCCGCCAGAGGGCAGCAGGGGGCATGGCTGGCCCGAAGGCACTAGCCAACGGATAGCCCTGCTCCCAGAGGATGCCCACTTCGGTCCCCACAGGGCTTGAGCCTCCCCATCCTGCGCCCCCCTCACAGTTCAGCAGTCTGGCTGTCCTACCTGGTGGTGAAGTGGTGCTGGCCTGGCTGCCCTGGGGCAGAAGGCCTGGCCCACCTGCCTAGGAGGGCTCGAGCAGTCTGGCCAGAGCCCTGCTCAGCTGGGTTTAATGACGCCCACCGCCTCCCTCCTGCCCAGGCCTGGACCTCAGGAATGGGCTGCACAGTGAGGGGGGCGCTAGGGCTCTGAGTACCTCCCCCATCCACGGATACCTGTCCTTCGACAGAGACGCGCCCCTTTCCCAGCTGGAGGCCTCCTTGGAGCTAGAGCAGCCACCCACGGCTGGACAAGGGCTGATGCCCCACTTCTGAAAAGGTGGGCACTGTCCCCAGGAGCTCCAGCAGTCAGCCTGCCCGACCCAAACTCTGAGCTCTGCTTGGGATCCCCAGCAAGGGGCCTCCCTGCTCACCGCCTCCCAACAGCCCCCTGCCCCTGCACCACACCCAAGGTCCCAGGGGCCTAGGCCTGACAGGAAGCCCAGTGCACCGCTAGGACCCCCTGCCCTGGCGCACCTTTCCAGGGATGGGCCACGGCTCCCCTGTGCCTGGAGAGAAGAGGGCTCCCCAGGTTCCCAGGGGCTTGGTGGAGCCTGGAGGTGAGTGGGGCCAGTGGACACCCCACCTGGGCCTTTGCTGAGCTTGGGCTAATGGACAGCACCTAACGGAAGAGGCTCCAGAGTGCCCCACACACCAATAGCCAGCCTCCTGGCCACCATGCCCAGCACCCAACTTCCCAAGGGTCTGTGCCCCAGATGACAGGACTTATCCTGGGGGTGGGGCCCAAGGCCTTCCCCAGCCGAGCCATCGTGAGGGCCCTGAGCCCACTGCCTGTTGCGCCAAGAGCACGGCCCTTGGGGTGTCTCCGATAAAGGCCAGATGCCTGTGGGCAGACTGGCCCTGGCACAGACCCCCTCGTGGCCCAGGCAGAGCTCAGGGACATGCCCTGGGTCTTGTGCAGACCCCTGCCAGTTGTACTTGGTACATGGCCACGGAGGGAGTGGGTGGGCAGTGGCCCACACGGACCAGGCGCAAACATGTTTATTGGATTGAGTTCAGTTTACAAAGAGCCCAGGGAGTCCCGTACAGAGCAGGTTTGTGCAGAACAAGCCAGACACAGTCGGGGTGGGAGTGGGCACACCCCCAGCAACCCTGGGCATGCAGCAAGCATTCCTGGGACTGTGCGCTCACACACACCCTGCTAATACCAGGTAAAAGTGGGAAAGGACTCGACACCATTTAATGCAGAAACTTTGTCTCTGAAAATTTAAATATCTCTGTGTATACATCTCAGAACGTCAGATCTGCCCAGCCCTGGGGCGGGTGGCAGGGGTGGCGAGGGCACAGGCACATCCAGGGCAGGTGGGCAGCGTCCCCAGCTGGAGCAACCCCTGGGCCCCCAGCCTCCGGGCTATTGGTCAGAGTCTGAGCAGGAGGCTGGTAGCAGCAGTGTCCTTGGAGGGGACCAGCATGTCCCCAAAGCCCCCGGGGCCAATGGAGCATGCCCCCTCAGGGCTGCCCCGCTCCTCCGGCGGGTGCCCCCGCGGACCCTGCAGTCGCTGCTGCCGCTCCTGGGCCTGGCGGGCTCGGCTGGCAATGGCACGCACACGGCTCTGGCTTCGGGAGGAGGAGCGTCGCAGGAAGCCCGGGCCCCCCACTCCCCTGTCCCCAGCCATGCATAGGCTGCTGGGCGATGTGATGTCCCCGGCCAGCTGGAACCCCGTAAGCCAGCGCAGCTGCTCTGTCAGGGCATCCCGCCGCACCTCCCGCCCCACCGGTGCCACACCAGCAGGGCCCAGGCTGCGGCCCAGGTTGCGGCCCAGGCTCTCGTTGTGGGGTGCAAAGTCATCAGCAGTCAGGTCTCCCAGGCTCTTGGACTTGGCTGCCGTGGGGCAGTCCCGGAGGCCTGCCAGGGGGAGGAAGCCCCAGGGAGGCCTCTGGGCCGGGGGGTGGGCCCGCTGCTCACCGGGAGCCATTGGCAGCTGGGTAGCAGCCCGCAGGTTGGGGTTGGACTTGCTCTTGGTCACGGTGGGCGGGTGCCGGCGGGCGGCCAAGGCAGAGCAGGGCCGTAGGGGCAGGCGTCCGGCAGGGGCCCCTGCCAGGGTCTCACAGCCCAGGCCCAGGCCCAGGCCCGGGAGCGAGAGGTCAATGACTGTGTCGCTGGAGGACATGCTAGAGGATGAGGACATGCTGTCACGGTGGCTGCCTGGCTCCAGGCGCTGCCACAGCCGATCACAGCCCGTGGCATCTGAGTACACAGCTGGGGAGGGGCGAGCCAGGGGCCGACGTCCAGCCGGGGCCTCTGAGGGCACCTGCTCCTCACTCTTGGCCCTTCTGACCTCAGGCAGATGGCCCAGGGCCTGGAGATGGCCCCTGCTGTCCATCTGGCCACTGGGGCCCCCGCCGTTGCACGCCCACTGCCTGCTCCTGGGGGCCAGCTCAGGGTCCCTGTGGCTGGTCCTGACCTGGAGTGGCACGGAGGCATCCAGAGCCACCCCCAGGGGACTCTCAGCCTTGATGGCAGGTCCTACAGAGCTCAGGGGCCCTTCTGGGGCCGTGCTAGTGGGGGTGGCCACCAAAGGTGGGGGGCCAGGGCCCAGGGCTGGCTCCTCAGCAATGGTTTCCAGAGAGGAGACTGACCACCGTGTGGAGAAGGGGCGGCTGTCTGTGGGGGAGAGAGCACGCGTCAGCAGCGTCCCCACGGCCCTGACCCCGGCATGTGCAGGCCCCACACTGCCCACCCAGCCCTCCGACTCCATTGCTGCTGGGGACCCCAGATGGGAGGTGTTCCACGGGGCGGGCAGCACAAGGCGCACGGGGTCTGGGCCCCGTTACCTGGCACTGGCTGCTGTCAGTTCCTAACTACAGAGGCAGCATGGGGACAAAAAGAACAGGATGGTCAGCGTGGGGGTGGGGCTGGCAGATGGACAGACTGACAGCAAGGCCGAGGGGTACAGGGTGCATGGAAGGAGCGGGAGGGAGATAGCTCAGCTTCCACCCCTTCTCCCCGGGCGGAGGACACATGCAGTCGGCTCCACTGGGCACTTGCCAACTCTGAGGCCCCCACGCCAAGCTCCGAGCACCGCCTGGGAGTCCTGCAGGCCTCAGGGCTGCCCTGTGGCCAACCACCGACCCACACCACACTCCCCACAGTGCAGGGCGGAGGCTGGGACACCTGCAGCCCGGCGCTGGAGGGAGGAGGTGAGAGGCTGAGCGCTGCCCTGGGTCCTAGGAAGGGCACGGGAGCAGCGGGACAGGCCGGGGAAGGAGGCCTGGCACAGGCACTGGGTGAGCACAGCCCGGCTCTCAGAGCCGCAGCAGGTGGGAGCTTCAGGGTGCTGGCAGCTGTGGCCAGACCTGCCCTCGCTTCCCTGGCCACTTGGGGGTGCAGGGAGCACTCTGGGGGCAAGCTGCTCAGGGGCGTCCTTCGGGGTCAGTAGGGGTCCCTGAGGGCAAGCCAGCGGAGCAAGGGAAGGCAGCGCAGCGGGGACTCTGGCCCAGGCCATGCCGAGGGGCAGTGCAGGGGGGCCACGGGGCACCAGCAGGAGCATCTGATCTTACCGGTGGAGAGCATGGAGGATTTACTCCTCATCTCCTCCAGCTTTTCAACGAACAAGGCGTTCACCTCCCTCTGCAGGGCCCCCACTTGCCTGTGGGCACCCTCGGGCACGCGGGCCGCCTCGGGGCTGCCCGGGCTGCTGGAGTCCGAGGACAGGGAGCTGCTGCCTCCCAGGCCCAGCCCCTGGGCCCTGGGGCCCTTGGGGGCCCCTCTGCCTCTCTGCAGGGCGGCACGGGGGGCCCCCGGCGAGTCTGCCCGGGCACGGGGCTGCTGGCTGACAGCCTCATGTCCACCTGCTGGCCCCAGGCTGGACAGCCACCCCCTCCGCAGGCCCTCGGTCTCCTCGCCGGCGCAGGAGCCCACCACACACTTCATGCAAGTAGCGGCCATCCCGGCAGGCCCGGGGCCCTCAGGGGCATGTGGGGGCCGCCCCTGCGCCAGGCTCCTCTCTGCCAGGGCCTTACCTCGGGGGCTGCAGCTGCCGGGCTCCTCCCTGGCTGGGGCCTGCAGGGCAAGGCCAGGGCTAGGGGGTGCCACGTCACGGGCCTCGCCCTCAGAGCCTGCATCCTGGGCACCCAGGACAAGCTCCGGAAAGGCCTTGCGGCCCGGCTTCTGGCTCTTGGTCGGCGCGCTGGCTGTGCGCCGCAGGAGCCGCTGGCTAACAGAGGGCCTGGGCTGGGGTCGCCCAGCAGCAGGACTGTCCAGGGACCCGGGCTTTGCGCCTCGGAGGAACAGGCCTTTTAGGCCCAGAGTCTGCTTGACCTGCAAGGGAAAGAGTCTGCATAGCAGGCAGCAGGCACTGGGGGCCAGGAGCTGCCCAGCCCCACCCAGCCCTGGCACATAGCAGATGTCCGCCTGGCTGAGCCCCTAAAGTCAAGAGGCCAGAATGTCCAGGGCTCTGGCAGGCAAGCCAGGCTTGGGCCACTCAGGGCTATGTGCAGGGAGAGGGGTCTCCAGGGCATCTCTGCCAGGGACAGAGGCTGCTAGGCCCCCACAGGGACTAGGAATGTTCCCAGCCTGCAGTGGGCAGAGTGCCTGCCACTCTCAGGGCTGGCAGGCCCAGTAAGGACAGGAGGGAGGAGACCCCCAGGGTCCTCCCAAGCAGAGGCCTCGTACCCTGGATGCCAGGCCACCACACCGTGTATGCTGGCAGGCCCCTGTGGCACCTGCTCCAGGACTCCGAGTGAGAATCAGACAGGCACAGGCCCCACCAGCTCCCAGGTGCCCCACCCACAGGCCCAGGAAGCAAGCACAGCCAGGAGCGGCCCATGTTGCACCCCCATGCCCACCACACTGGGGGTGCCACCTCTTCAGGAAGCCTTCTGGACTCCTGCCGGGCCCTGTTCTCTGCCCATGTGTCCTGAGGGCAGGGCCCATGCTGGCTTGGTGGCCAAAACCGCGGCTGGCCAAGGTGGGGATGGGGGTTCCCTGCAAGGCCTCTCCCCGCATCCTCCCCACCTGAGGGGGGCAGCCAGGGGCCCCAGGGACCGGCTGGCAAGTGCCTGAGTCAACATCAGAGGGGGCCAGCGGGTGCATCTTGCAGGTGCAGAGACTGGAAGGGTCCTCACATGCAGGGACCCCAAACAACAGCTACCACTCCCCAGTGACGGGTCAGTCCTCGGGGGAGGCATTACAGTGGCCAGCCCTTGAATCGCTTCCTGATTCAGGACCCAAATCCAGAGCAATCTGGTCAAAGTTGGCTGAAAAGTCACTTAGAAGAAGGTCTAGGATTCAGGCTGGGGGCTCCTCCTGCCCCGGCACTGGGGGTCACTGGGACAGTCAGAGGGGCACATGAGGGCAGGGGTGCTGAGCACGCACAGCTAGAGAAGCGGACACAGGGTGTGGAGTGGGGGAAGGCACAGGGGTCAGCGAGATGAGGACAGAAGGAGATGCGGACCGGCAGGGGCTGCTCATGCAGGCGGCCGCACCCAGGTCCTGGGCCTGCCTCGTGAGTGCTGCCCTGTGGCTAGGGGTGGCCCGAGGGACCCCGGAATCCCATCACGATCCATATCACATGAACTGACGGTCTCCAAAATGCTACCAGGAATCACGGGTGCTAATGGGGTAGCCTGAGCATGCGGGGGGGTGGGCGGGCTGGGCCGCCCCGGGCCGGGGTACCTTTGAGCTCTAACAGGGGGGCCGTGCTTCTAAAGGTGGACTTTGGACACAGAGAAGCCACTGAGCCACTGCAAGACCAAAGAGACAGCGTGAGGCCGCGAGACACCGGCACGGGCGTGGAGCCCGCGGACACAAGCACACAGGACAGACGGGTGACGGATGGCGGGCCACAGAGAGCCGGAGGCCTGCAGGGTCGTGGGGCACGAGGGGAGAGGTTAGTGCTGGGCTGCCACAGGACACCTGTGTGTGCCCTGCCTGGGCCCTGAGCATGGAACTGGGGACCCCTGGGCTCTGCAGATGGGACAGTGAGGCAGACAGACCCCCATCCTGGGGCAGAGGCAAATGTGCTGGGGGTCAGAGGGGGAGATAGCGGGACAAAGCCAGGCAGACACCTTCCCAGGAGGGATGGAGAAGCAGGGACCCTGAGAAGTAGAAGGGACAGGAGACAGATGGGAGGGGCCATGGCACCCATCTCCTGTGCCCAGAGCCACCTGGGGACACAGACGGAGGTCAGGTGGCCCCCATCCCACAGGTAGATAACAGGCCCAGCACTAGGCCTCGGGCCAGGGACAGAGCTGGGTGGGGCTTGGGAGCAGCCGTGCAGGTGGCACTCACCTTACCACTGATGTCACCGATGGCCACGTGGACGAAGATGGAAGCCTCTTCCATCCCCTCCAGGTACACATGCCGGTAGCCTGCAACAGCCAGGTCACGGCTCACCCTGCCCGACCCTCCACTCACAGGTCCCAAGGCCCTGACCCAGAACCCAGTCCTGGGGACTCCACCTCCTCCAGGAAGCCCATCAGGATTGCTCCATCCTGCAAAGATCTCTTCCTCCTCTGCAGCCTGGGATCCCCTGGCCTTGCACCCTTCTCGTCAGCTTCCTCTGTGTCCCCAGGCCACCCAAGGCAAGAGCCAACTCCCAGAAGGATGCTGGGCCCCACCCTGCCCTGGAGCTCTCAGCTGGCCTGCATGGGGGACACCAGCCCTAGTAGGGATGCTGGCCCAGGGCTCTGCCCCCTGCCCACCTGGCATCATGCTGCTGAAGGCCAGTGTCCTCTGGCCAATGAAGTCACGCCCGATGGGGTCATGGTCCCAGACAAGGAAGCGCACCAGCGCAATCTCAGGCATGTGCACTGTGAACACCAGCGTCTCCTCCCACATGGGGTTGAATCCTGGAGGCCGTCAGAAGAAGGGGTTACCTCCCACCCAGGCCCTGCCTGGCGGTCACCTGGGCCCACACCCTCTCCGGGAGCCGCCTCCTAGGCTGGGCCGGCTGGTGAGAGGGGCCAGGTGGTTGCCGTTGGGCTCCTACCCGAGGGGACCCCTGGACAGTTCTGGGCCACAGGAGGCAGACCTGGACCACTTCCGCTCCCAGATTGGCATCGCCAGGCGGGAGCCATGCCAGGGCCTCGGGGCCCAGGTGGCAGCAGGTGCCTACAGCCCTCACCATTATCGTCCACCACGTGGGTCTGCTCCTTGCTGCAGTCCACGGGGAGCCCGATGACCTCCACCTCCACGAAGGGGTCGATGATCTGGTACAGAAGGCAGGGCTGGTGCCGGGACAGCCCCCAGCCTGCCCCCACCCTGCTCCCCGCCTCTCCTACCTCCCCACGGTCGCCCAGCATCGAGTCCCTGGGCTTGGGGAGCTGCTGCCCACTGATGATCCGCAGCACCAGCTGCTTCTTGAGCTGCCCAGGCAGGGGGTCCTCGGCATTGGGGTTGAAGCTGCCTGAGGGGCCAGGGCATGGGGCTGAGTGGGGCTGGGGCAGGGCCCCCTCAAGTCGCCAGGTGGTCACTCCAGCCCCACTGACTGGATGGGAGCCCCAGCCCAGGAGGGCGAGGGCTACGTTCCAGCGCGGGGTCACTCGGGGCCTGTGTGCAGTCGCCATAACAACTGCCCTGCGGCATGGCCACCACTTGACCCCCTCCATAGGTGAGCCAGGGGGCTTGGTTCCTGCGAGAGGCCAGCCGTCTCTGGGCGGGGAGCTGGGTGCCCAGAGGCAGGGCAGGTGGAGAGCCTGAGAGGTGAGTGCCCATAACAGGCACCGCGCAAGCCAAGATGGTGGGGAGGAGGATGGGTGAAAACAGACCTACACATGGTCTCCAGCGCATCAGGGGAAGAACTCCAGGGTCTGGGGAAGGGGGAAGGGAACTCCCTTGCTTCGTGGTACAGGCAAGCCTCAACCCACCATGCAGCAGCCTCTTGGGGGCCAGGGTGTGGGCAGGGGCTTGGTCATTCACCCTCTCCAGGTCCCTGGCAGAGTGGGGGCCCTTCACTGCATACGGCCCACCTCCAGGCATCCCGGGTCCCAGCATGGCCCCGGCAGTCCTGCCAAGCCGCCCCATGACCTTAGTGCACTCACACAGCCCTGGGGCCCCAGCCTTACCCTGGCACATGCACTGGGGCTTGAGCACGTAGCCACAGCTGCCGTTGGCACTGAACTTGGCCCGGTTCAACTGCAGCATCCGCCCCTCCGACTGGTAGTTCAGGGCCACTGCGGGGAGGGACATGAGGGCTCCCGGTTAGCGTGCGCCCATGGCCCCTGCCTCCCCTGCACAGCCCCCTGGGAGCCTGTGTGAGCAGAGCCTGGGGCTCACAGCTGAACATGGCAGGGCCATGCATTCTGGCAACGTGACCCGCAGTGCCTGGCAGAGCCGGCCCCCCACGCACCCCTGGACATGCATGGCAGACACGCCGTAACTCCCACCTTGCCCTGGGGTCCTGAGGAACCCCCACCCCAAGTCCCAGCCTGGAGGATGCCACAGGGGGCTCCCCAAAGCCACGGGTGAGGACAGCCACACCCCTGCACCCACCCATCTGGCAGCCCGCGTTCCAGAAGGGCTGCGGGTTGAAGTTGCTGGAGTCGACGCGGTAGGACGAGGGGTAGACGCGGGAGAGCTGGTTCTGGTTGAAGCACAGGTACCGAGCCGGCTTCTGCTGCAGGATCTGCTGGGCCCTGGCCTCGCTGAACGACGACACCTGCCAGCTGGACGCCACTGCGGGCGCACAGGCCGCCTCAGCTCTCGCCCAGGAGCGGTGGCCCCCCTGTGCCCGGGCCCCCATCGCCCTCACCCTCCATCTCCACGTCATGGATGCCCACAGACTTGGTGTACTTCACCAGGTCCGAGAGGGCGCGGGACAGCTTCATGGTCTTCTTCTGCCGGGCGGCCCTGTGCAGAGGGCAGGGGCAGGGCGGGACCCGGGGGTCAGCCCGGCTGCGGTGTGACACTGGGGGGCGGGCAGTGCCAAGCCCACCACGGAACGCCTCCCCCACCAGGATGGGCCCGTCGGCCCCCTGCCCTGGCCCCGTCCCCCCTAGTCACTACGCTGTCCCTGGGCGCACATGGGACCCCAGCATTGCCAGGACGATGGCCTGGGCACTTCCAGCTGCCGCTGCCTCTTCCAGGGCCTGGGCTGGGGGCGGGGCACTGACCCTCGGCTCTGGCTGTCTTGGGGGTCCGGGTCCACATCCCCGTCCTCCACGCTGGCCACCTTCTTCAGCCTGCTGCTTTTTTTCTGGGGGGAAGGAGGGCATAGTCAGCACCCACAGAGCCCTAGGTGCGGCCAGGCTGTCTGCCAGGCCATGAGGGTGTGGGAGGTGGGCCTACCCGTCCTCAGCAGGGCCCTGGGTGACCCTGAACTTGGGCATTGCCCGGTGTGAGCCAACAGAGGCCACAAGGCACCTGCTTCGTTCCACCCTGACCAGGACTCGGGACTCAAGGCACTTTAGGGGGGTCCTGGGGCACAGAGACAGGGCCAGCTAGGGCACATGAGGGCAGGGACCCCAGCCCAGGAGCCCCCCAGACCTTCCGCTTGGAGAAGCTGCCCACGAGAAGCCGGCTGTTCTTCCTGCTGGCTCCAGCATCCCCCCCAGACTCCGCATCCTCCTCAGCCTGGAAGGCGGGGAGACAGGGGCGCAGAGTGAGCCCAGTTTTGCACCAGGTAGGGCGGGGCAGCCCAGGCAGCCTTCCAGGAGGCAGGGAGCTGAACGGGCCTGGGTGCACTGAGGCAGCTGCCTGGGAGCTGAGAACAGGGGTTCCGATGGGATGGTCTTTCCCCCCGACCTCATCAGCTCACCCTGATGTGATGTTTTAAACTCATTAGGTTCCCAGTTCTGAGTTTTTCCCAGACAGTGACTGCATGAGAAACGCTGTTTGTGTGTCTAGAACATTTCCCAGCTGCGCCTGCTTCTGTAAGGCTTTTACAGGATCCCTGCAACTCCGGGGGCATCCTCACCGATCAGACAGATAAAAGAACCCCCCCCCACCAGCTGCTCCCCTTCACCCTCGGGCACAGTGATTCCAGGCACTCAGCCTTCCTGAGCACAGAGGTCCCTCCCTGCGCCAACCCCCACCGAGGCTTCCCCCAGGCTGGTCCCATACGCACACATCTGCACGCCACCACTGTGGGCGCCCCCGCACAACGCCCACAGACACAGCCCTGCACCTGGGCACCACCCGGCCACACCCCAGCCCTCCCGCTGGCCTCTCATCCAGGAGGTGAGCAAGGCCCCCTCAGGGATGGGCTCCGGTCGCCTGGAGCTCCAGCTGGGGACACAGGGAGAGGGAAGGATGATCAGAGAGTGCCTGCCCCTTGACCTTACCAGCCTGGACACTGCCCACAGTGGCTCGCACACTAGGGAGGGAGCACGTGGCAGGGACACTGCCTGTCAGTGTCAGCCCCCTTGGAGCTCCATCTGACCCCTGACCTCTCCCCACTCCTGTGCCCCTCACCCCTCATCCTCCGCCCTCCTGGGGAGTCAGCACAGGTGCCTCGGGCGGCCCTTCTGTTGCCAGAGTGGCGGAGGGGCCTGGCTGTGCCCTTTGTGCCCTCTGGTGGGCTGCGCGGAGAGGCACAGGCCCACAACACTGAAGGCGCTCAGGGCGGCTAAGGCTTGAGTTGCCTGTACACGTGTCACCCCCTGTGCCCCAGCAATGCCAGCCTGTTTTCCTGATTCACTGATGACTCCACAGTGGGCCGGCAGAGACACTGGAAGCCGAGTTCAGTGTTCAGAGCCAGCTGAGGCTGACCCGCTTCGCAGCTGTTTAAACATCTCCTGCAATGCTGCATACCAAGTGCCAGTGGGCGGGGCACAGCCAAGGAGAGGTGTGGGCCAGGCCCACAAGCCCCTCCTGACCAAGACTGTCCAGCCCTGGCCACGCTGGCATCTGGGGTCTAGGTCCCAGCAGTGGACCAGGCCTGTGCTCGGCCACACCCACAGCTGGCGCGGCAAACAGGTCCCCTCCTGGCCTGTCCTCTTCCTCCCCTCCAGACAGCCTCGGCCCCACCTGCCCCATCCCACAAGGACCTCAGGGGGGCCTCGGGCCCTCGGGCAGAGGGGACAGAGGCACGTCCAGGTACATCCAATACCCCGCTGCCTAGACGCTCCCCTCTCTGCCTGGACCCCACAGAGACTCCGTAGCTCCACCCCCTGGCGGCCCCCTGCCCACGTCACAGCAGGGAGGGCCTGGTGCCTCTGGTGGGGTGGGACTCCCTGCTCCCCGCATCAAATCCCCATGCCTGGCAGCTCAGTCTGAGCTCCACCTCCTCCAGGAAGCCTTCCCTGAGCACCTGCTCCCCCCCATGCAGAAGGCTGCTCAGACACAAGGTCCCCAGGGCCAGGCTACTCTTCTGAGCGCCCCCACATTTTGCCTGCCTAGGAAAAGCAGGGACTTCACATCATCACTGCTTAGCCAGGCAGGACCACCATGCTGCCTGCCCACCCACCAGAGACACTGGCCCTCTGGAAATAAGTGACCAGCTATCAGCACATGACCTGGGGGGCCATCTGCATGGAGAGGGACCCTTGAGCTTCCAGAGGCACCAGTTGTACCCCATGGGTGGGACACAAATACCCACATTGGAATATACTGTCAGGGGGCCCAGCCCCCTCACGCTGGCCAGGGAGGAGCTGCCCTCCCCCACCAGGAGCTCAGATAGTGGCCAGGCCCATGCAGGGGGTAGGAGGCAGGGGTCCCCAAAATAGGAAGACGCTGCCTTGCTCACCTGCAAAATGGGGTCCGCACGGCCTACCGATGCCCACCTGCCCAAGGCCAGCTGCCCCGCCCACCATAGACCCCAGGAATCTGCGGGTGCTCCGGCTGTGCTGTGCCGAGCCATGCTGTGCCTGTCCCGCAGTTTGCTGTCCCCCCACAGGCGAGACTCGAACCTCTCAGCCTCACTGGCCCAACACCCCCCCCCAGCACATGCTCCTCGCTGTCCTCTCCACAGGGGCACTTCCCCACGAGGCTGTGGGAGGCTCCGGGCAGGGGCGGCTGGGTTCAGAGACCATGGGCGCCCCTCCCTGTCATTCATGAGACCCCTCAGTGGGGGGCCCTGCCTCTGGCCCCCAAGCACTGCTCAAGCCCCCTTCTGCAAGGAGCCACCAGTTGTCGGGGGCTGCTCGCCTCTCCTGCCCAAGGATAGGTAGAGGCTACCGGCTGGGGCTTGCCCTGGGCCTCAAGGGACAGGCTCTGGCTGTCAGCTGCACCAGAGCAGCCACACAGGAGGGCAGGCCCTGGCCCCAGCTCTCTGCCCTGTGTCATGGCGACGTCTGAAGGTCCTCCAGGATGAGAGTCCGAACAGCCAGATGCGGGCTTCTGGCAGAACAACAGGGGGTAGCCGGCCATGCGTGCAGGTGTGTGGCCATGTGTGCGTGCAGGTCCAAGTGTGTGGCTGTGTGCCATGCGCATGTACGCACACGCACGGGGGAGCACAGGCCTCATGCTCAGGGCCCCCGGCCACAGGGCTCTTACCCTTTTGCCCTCTGCCTTGTGGCCCAGCTTCCCTGATGGAGGCAGCATGGAGACAGTGAAGGCGTTCAGGTCCTCACAGTCCCGAATCTTGGACTCCTTGATTAGGGAATCCAGCTTCCTCTTGGCGATGCTTTCCACACGCTTCCGATTGGAGGAGGCCTGCAGGAGCCAGATGGCCGGCCTGTTGGCAGCAGCAGGGAGGCCCCCCACCAGGTCTTGGGCAGCGCTGCAGGGTCCTGCTGGAGCTGGGGGCAGCCCACCCCATCTGGACCGAGCACATATCAGCCCCTCCCACCTGGTGTGGACTGCACGTCACTCCTACATGAAGTCCCCTGGCCAGCGGGCATGTGACTTGCCCTGGACTGTGGACAATGACCAGCAGGCCCTGACTCCAGGCCCTCCTGACCCTTAATGCCTGCCTGAGGGGCCCCAGCAGACCTGGTTGGCTGCCCAGTGGGCCTGGGACCCTGCCACTGGTCACCGCATGCCTCATGAAGATGGGCGTGGGCAGGGGCGGGTTCGGACTGCCTGGCTGGCTGGTGCCGGGGGCTGGGGAGGGGTCTCCAGGAGCTCTCCCCACCCGAGCATCCCCCAGTGTGGCCCTGACCGACATGGGCCCCTCCAGGGCAGGGCCAGGGCCTTGGGCCCCAGGGTGTCCTGTGCCAGTTGGCAGGGTATAAGGTAGACATGGGCTCTCAGCCACCTCGGGTGGGGAGCGGTGCGCAGGCACCAGGAGCAGCAAGGATCCTGCTGCCCCAGGGTTCCTAAAACAATCAGCCAGCTCAGTGGCTCCATGTAATTATTTCCCATCCAATGGCCCCGTGGGGAGAAATAATGCCTTTGCTGCCTCGCGGCCACAGCTTAGAGCAGCCCCAGAGGAGAGGAGATGCTAATCACGGAGCCCCAGTCCCTCTGCACAGCCCTCCTGACCCCTCAGCCTCCCTGCACCGCTGGGCGCAGACAGAACAGCACGTGGAGGCCATGAGCCTGCCCCTGGGGGCCCGGCCCCGCCCTGCAGGAGGCCCCCCGGCTCACGTCCCCATCCGGGAGCTTGCAGTCGGCCTCAAGCTCCTCCGCGCTGTCCTCGTCAGACACGTCGCCCTCCTCCACGTCCGCACCAATGCCGGCTGGGAGCTTCTTGCCCTGGGGACGAGGCATGCATGGGGGCTGCCCTGCATGAAGTGGAGGGCGAGCGCCCACGGGAGCAGGACAGAGGGAAGGGCCTCTCCCAAGCTGCATTTGGACCTCAGGCCTCGGGGCAGGCACAGCCCCCCGCATCCCTGCTTGCTTAGGAAACCCAGGGTGTGCATGCAGAGATCCCGGGCTGAGTGGCCACTGGGCCTGGCCCCAGGAGGGGCAGGAAGGTGCTCACCTTCACCAGGATCTTGCCCTTGAGTGCCTGTGGAGAGGGCAGCGTGGTGGCATCCTCACTGCTCACTGACGACAAGTCCAGCTTATCCCCGAGGATGTCAGTCAGGTACTGGGCCATCTTCTTCTGCTGAATGACACTGCAGTGGTTCTCAATGGACAGGATCACTGGGTACCTGTGCCCCAAGGTGGGAAGAGCAAGGTGGGCCGGGGGAGGGGGAGGCTGGCCTCTGCAGGGCTCCGGTCACCTGCACCACAGAGTGGAGAGGGTCTTCACCAGGAGCCCAGCACGACAGCTGCTGGCCGTCCGGGAGGGGAGGGGAGGGGAGCTGTTGGGAGGCCTCGCGGGTGGGTAAAGAGGGCATGTGCTGCTCCTCCCAGCAGGAAAAAACAAAGGTGATTAGAAACTCCAGCAGCAAGAGGGACACATTCAAGCAAGTCAGCACGTCTTGGTTTTAAGGTGATGCAGATTAAATGGGCAGGACGGGAGGCAACGTCAAGCCTGAGATAGACGGTCCACTGCCCTGGACCCTGGCGACACTCCTGTGGATGGCCCTGGGGTCCTGGCATTGGCCCCATAAAGGGAACACAGGCCTGGCACTGACTGTCCTGAGGAACCAGTCATTGCCTAGTGGCCCCAGATAGGCCGTGCAGCATGGGGATTGCCATTATAAGTTCTTCAGCTGTTTGATTTATTGTTTTTAACCATAAACATGTTATTTGGATTTTTGCCAAAGGCAACATAGGCCTTTTAGAAAATGTAGATGACCCAGACCCAGAGGGCATGAAGCAGAGCAGGAGATGGCACGTCCTGCACCGCAGAGGGGTGAGCAAGGCGCGGGGCAGAGGCTCTCCTGTGCCCCCGTCCCAGGCTAGGGGCTGAAGCCTGTGCCTATGAAGGGCATGCTGGCACACGAGGCGCAAGCCTGCCCGGGGCCTGGCTCCTCGGCAGCCGTAGGAGACCTGTGTGACCTAGCGCCCGTACTGAGATGCCCCCTCGCCTGCCACCGTGCAGAGGCACCCCCACCCCCGCCCCTGCAGCCAGAGACAGAGCCCAGGCCAGCTCTTCCCCGGGTAGGAAGGCTCTGTGCCTGTTCCCTAGACCGACCCTGCTTCTCCTGTCCTCCTTCGTTCATCAGCTCCTTCTCGCCTGCGAGCCTCATTTAACCAAGACTTGAGATGAGTCTAAGGGGCTGGGGAGGCTGCCTTCTCTTTCCAGAGAGTAACTGAATTCTGGTCAGCAGTGTCTGGAGCCACAGCTGAGTGACAGCAAATTGAATCTGGACGCAGAGCCGCCTCTGGGGGTAATCTGTCCTGGAGCCCCTGCGGCTGACACCAGGGCCGCCAACGTATGGATGCCCGTGCGCTGCACAGCCCCAGCCTGCCAGGCTGCCCGCTCCCACACCCACCTCCCCCGTCCCAAGATCCACAGCTCCTCTCACTCCCCTGCCCTCACCCTCAACAAGAGACCCTGAGCCGCCGCCCGCAGAAAGGATGTGGGGCGGGGGCAGGAACAGCCCCTGGGCCCCCCCAACCTGCTCCCCAGCAGCAGCAGCCCTGGAGTCCCAGCCACTCACTCGTTCTTAATGAAGGCGTATTTGTTGATGGTCTCAATGACGTCTTTGAAGAGGATCTTAGAGGTCAGAGTGTAGCCGTGATGCACAATGGGCTCCCCATCAGGCCCATCCCAGCAGTCCACTGTGGGCAGGCAAATCCCGGTCAGCTCCAGGGCTTGGCCGTCAGTGCCCAGGGACCCACAGCCAGCAGACTCGGACCGAAGGGGTCCTCTTACGCGGTGACTTGACACCAGGAGAGGCCCCTCTCAGCCTTTACCCGGGGCAGGGGGCAGAGACCTGCCCAGAGACCCCAGAAGGCTCCCCTCCAATGGTACCAGTCCAGAGCCCAGGATCGGCCCCTGGGCCAAGGGGCTGTGGGGTCTCAGAACCCCCGCCACTCACCCTCCACACAGCGGCAGCCAGCCTGCAGCACCCAGGCATACATGTCCACCCGAGACTGGGACATGAGCTGGTCGCCCACGAGGTAGGTGTTATGGGACGAGGTGATGAAGTAGTGGCTCAGCGGCCGGGTCATGTCCTGGTGCACACCATGGTGCTCAGGGTTGAAGATGTCACCAGCCGGGCTCCGTGTGTAGTTGGTGAAACCTACAGGGGGAGCATGGGGGCGGGCTCAGGCCCTGCCTGCCAGCCCCACCCCTGGGCTCCCCTCGGGACCGCCACCCCCCGAGCCACATGGACAGGGGAGTGACCTGCTCGGGCCGACTGTCCAGGCCTGCAGGTCTGCCAGGACAGCTGGGCAGCAGTGCCACCCCACTTACCGTCGATGCCCAGCACCCTCTTACTCCTGTTTTCTGGGCAGGGCTCAAACTGCTCGATGATGTCCTGGCAGCTCTCAAGTGTCACCCCCGTCACCTAGGCCAGAGGGGGGCTTGAGCCAGGCTAGCCTCGGACAGCCCGTCCAGCGCCCCCACTCCCGCCCCCGCCTGTCTCTAGTTGCCGCATCGGCGCTGCCCAGAGTAGTGAGCTTCCCCCACGGAGAGCGTGCTTCCCCCAGTGGGGCTCGCTGGCGTCCCCAGTGTCACGAGACCTGGACTTGGTGGCCAGCGGACTGCAGGTGGGCCCCATGGCTTTGGAAGAGCTGGCTCTGACTGAGGATCCTTGAAGCAAGGGGAGGGGTCTTTGGACTCATCAGCTGGGCTGCCCGCCTCCCCTCTGAGGGGTCCTGAGAGCCATGAACCACGGCAGGTCAGGCAGGGGCCAGGGCTGGCACGTGGGAATGTGCAGGAGAGGCGGCCCTGTGCATTGGGGTGATCACCCAGGGCCCTGGGGTGCCATCCGGGCCAGGAGCCCCCAGTTTCCAGAAGCTGGTCCATCAGCAAGGCTCCCAGGAAGACCCCAGGAATGTGGGGGTGCATACAAATGGTGGAGGAGGGAGGGGCCAGAGCTCGGAGCAACTGTGGACCCAGAGTCCAGGGGCTGGGCCAGGGCTCAACCCATCTGCCTGGTGGACAGTTTTGGCCCCAGACTATATGGAGAGTTCTGGAAAGCTTGAGGCAAAGGTCAGGGAACTACATGTCAGTTCTGCGCACCCTCGACTGGGCCACATTCCTGCCTTGCACCCCTGTACGTGCCAGCAGAGGGGACAGAAGACCCACAGCCTCCTCCCAGTGCTGCCCCCAGCGGCTGGGCTGGAAACAAGCTGCCCCCACCAGCAGGACCCAGCCAGGCTGGCTGCAGCTCTCCTGCCTGGGCAAGCCCCCAGTGCACCCCCCCAGCAGGCCTGGAGAGGAAGCAAACAGGCTGCCAGAAGGACAGAGCCCCAGCAAAGTGTTACTGAGGGGGAGAGAGATGCGGGGGCACAGCCAGGACCCAGCCACCTAAGTCACACCCTGGGTTCGGAGCAGCCTCATGGGAAAGGACGGGGCAGGTGCTGACCCAGGACAGCATTAAGGGCAACCCCCTGCAAACACCACAGACCCACCCTGGGTCCCAAAGCCCTTCCTGTTGCTGTTCTAGCCACCCAGGCCCTGATCCTGCCCAGGGCCCCTCACTTTGAGGCTGACATCATGTGCGATGGGGGGCTGGGTGGAGGGCCCTGGCCAGGGTGTCCGGCCCCAGAAGGGCAAAGCTCCTAGGGCCTGCAGTTTGCCCCGCCCTTCTCCCCTCCCACAAGCAGATCCTTGAGGGTCCCAGGAAATTACAGGCCTGGACACTGGCCCTCCCACCAGCCCTCAGGGTGGGACCACATGCCTGTCTGAGCCCCACTACCTACCTTCCCCTTGGGGGAGCACTTCCCCTCCCCTGCCATGGGCTTCTAGCCTGCTGCCCATCAGAGCACCTGGTGGCACCCAGCTCCTGCCAGGCCTGGGATGAGGGGTTCAGACCTGTGAGACTCCGGACACTGGGAACCTGGTCAGTGGGCACTGCCCAGGGATCACGTGGCCTCTCAAGATGGACAAGACTGCCTGGGCCAAGGGAAGTGGGCAGGCGTACCCTGCTGTCATACTCCCGGAGGCATCTGGGTATCCTCTGGACAAATGGGTAGCGATGGGGACACAAGCCAGCTAGACCTACACGCTACAGCAAAAGGGAGCCTGAGCCGCGGACCCCGCGCCTCACAGGACGCTCCACGCTGAAGCTGGTGCTGTGCTCAAGTGGGGCTCCCCTCAGAAAGCTTAGGTCCCTCCTAGGAACTGACGTTAGGCCCACTAAGCGGAGGCGGATTTGAGGAGCTCTGTGCCAGGCCGGTGCCCGCCCTTCTTCAGTGCTCAGCCACTGTGTGAGCAGGCTCGGATGCCCTGGAAGCCGCGGGGAGACCACACCGGCCGGGACCCCGCTCCTCCCGTGGCGCACTCACTTTCTGCTCCACTTCCAGGAAGCGCTGGAGGTCGGCAGTGTCCAGGTGGTCCTTGTGGCTACTGTAGGTCAGCATGAGCAGGTAGAGATCCCGGCGGGTGGACATCATCTTGTAGAAGGCACAGAACTCCTCAAAGTCCAGTGTCCCTTGGTGGTCGTCTGTGTCTGCTTCCTGCAGTGCAAGACCTCTGGGTGCCCCCATGTCCCCCCGAGCCCCATCCATGTGAGGTCCTCCAGGCCCACCCTGCTCCTTCTAACCCCAAATCACAACGTCGCCACCCTTGTCAAGGCCTCGTGATTGCTCCCTGGGACCCCACAGAAGCATCTGCCCCCCTGACTTTCCCACCAAGAAGCCACTGAGTGACCTTTCACACAGATCTGACCCAATCCTCCCCCAGTCCAAGCCTTCCAAGGTCAGCCTGCAGCTGAAGCCTGCAGTCACCACGACTGAGAGCCAACACCCCACATTCAAGACAACACTCCACCCTACTATCAACGCCCCACCCTGGAGCCAGGCCCCACCCTGGAGTCAATGCCCATTCTGGGCTGTGAGCCTGTAATTACAATCGGCTGCCCATCAATTAGAAGAGCACAGGGCCCCAGGGCTGCGAGGGTGTCCTGGCTCCAGTGTCCACGGCAGAGAGGAGAGGACCCTGGTCTCAGGCCATCTGCTTTGCAGGCAGCGCGGCTCACACGACCTCTGCACACCTGCAGGGGCTCCAGGAGAAAACCCACCAGGACCCCAGCCAGGGAGACCATGGACTCCTCCATGAATCCACTCGCTTGGGAGGCATCTGCTGAGGGGTCAGACCCTGGGGATGTCAAGAGCCAAGGTCAGGAGCAGACCCAGAAGGCCTGGAAGCCAGGCTGCCCAGAGGAAGCCCTGGGGGTGCAGACAAGGGAGGGCCCTAGAAGGTGCTGCTCTGAGTGCTAAAGATGGATTCTGATCCAGCAACAGGACGTGCAGGGACAGATGCCAAGTCAGCACCATGGACAGCACAGTGCACGTCAGCCCTGCAGGCCGCCTGGAATGTCTTTCCTCATTGGGCCACACAATCCGGGGTGGCCAGGGTGGGTGCCGAGTCACTGAGGCCCCCTCTGAACTGGGAGCATCACCAGTGTAAGCCAGGTGGCCACAGCCTCCCCATCCCCATACCTAGCAGGAGCTGGGCTCTGGGAAGGTTGGGCCCCGACCTGCACACATGCCGGCACTGCAGCTCTTCACTGAGGAGGGGGCCTAGTGGGCCCCAGCTTCTCACTCCAGGACCTACATGCCCATGCCAACACTGGGACAGGGCCAGCTTGGCATGAGGGGCCAGCCCAGAGCCACATGTTTTGGGGCCCGGCAGATGTCAGACAAAAATCCTGGTGTGGCTGGTGCTAGGTTTGAGGCAGCCCTACATCTGGGAGCTGGCAGGAGAGACAGGGCCGGGTCACACTGAGGGTCAGAGAGCCCCTCTGGGGCAGAGCCAGGCTGGTAGCCTCCCCGGGGGTGTGGCTGGAGCTAGGCAGAAATGCCTATTCCCTCAGTATTCAGCCCACAGGGTGGCTGGCCTCATGCCAGGCTCTATGCCAGGCAGTGCAGCCAGGAGTACAGGGCAGGGAGCTGCCAGATGGCTGCCCAGCTGCTGGCCCTCAGCAGGAAATGAAAAGGTTTATGACACTAATGCTCCCGGGAGACCCAAAGGACAGATCTGAACCCTCAAAACCAGAAACACCTCCCCATGTGGCCGTGGAGCTGCTTTTCTTTCCATGAATGGAAGCCTCGGCGGCCGAGGGCACACGCTGCCCGAGCTGCCCTGCTGAGCCAGCCTCAGAGCCGGCCAGGGTGCTTACTATGCAATGGGGTCTGTGGCCACACCGGGCCTAGCCTACATTCCACTGCTCTCTCAGACTTCATAAAATTATGTTCAAGCCACTCTTGAGCCCTCCTTCCCTGGGCGGCCGTGCAGACAGGCAGGGAGGCCCGGGCACAGGGACATGGCTGCCAGGGTCTGAACTGCCTGGTGTGGTGTCAGCTCCAGGCCCACACCCCTGGACCTTCTGGCTATTCTCCGGAGCCGGCACAGAGCGGGCCCACCTGCAGGGTGTCTCCGCTCCGTCCAGGGCTTCCTTGAGGTGATCTAGTTGGAGACCAGGGTCAGGGCCAGGACCGGTCAGGGGTTCTTCCCCCTCGTGTGCCTGGAGGGTATGTGAGGCCCAGTGGCCTTACAGGAGGGGCAGGCAGGCCCGGGCTTCTCGAGCTCCCAGCATGGGGCATTTTCAAGCCAGGACTTCCCACTGGACCCTCAGGCCCCAGGAGCCTTGCAAACTGTGTGAGGTATTTGTCTCTCCTCCTGCCTCAGAGGCCAAGCAGACCCCCACATCCTAAGCCAGACTGCCACCTGGGCCCCCTGTCACAGCCTCGCAGTTCTGGAGGGGCCTGCTGACCCCAGAGCTGCCCCTGGAGTGGGGCAGGCGGGGAACCTGCAGGGGGCTGATCTGCAGACCCGAGCAGATCCCCAGCTCCTCACTGCCCGGGCAGGCCCTGTCCCCCCTGTGAGTGTCCCCGTCCTCAGCCGGCACACCCACAGCATCCTGCTCAGCCCCTCATTCATGTACAGACCCATGGGCTCTGAGCTGGCCAGCTCCCTCGCTCCAGCCGAACGTGACCACCTGTCCATCAGGACAGCACAGGCAGGAGCCGCTGCGGCTGGCAGAGCAGTCAGTGTGCATGCATGTGCATGCAAGCGTGTGTGTGGCATGTGGCCTGGCTCAGGCTCAAGGAACCCTCTTCCCACTGCAGGAAAACGATGAGGCCTGGGAGCTGCTGACGCCATGTTCCCCTCCCCTGTACCAGCGAGGGCTCCAGAAGGACAGAACTGACCACAGGCGATGACGGCTGCCACTCAGCAGGACACATTTCATAATTTCTATGACAGTTGGGGACCAGGAGCTGCTGCCTTCAGGCCCAGGGAGTCGGGGAGGGACAGGCAGGGAGTGGGCCTCTGGGTGGGTCCTCAGGCACCCAGCACCTGCCCCAGCTGCAGAGGAAGCACCTTGGGGCCTCCGGAGGTCCAGGGCTGCTGGCCCCGCACTTCCCACCATTCACTGAAGAGCGGCGGGCAGCTCGCGGAGCCCCGCCCCACAAGGCCTGCAGCCCCGTCCCCTCACCTGGAACATCTGCTTCACCCTCTGCCGAGGCAGGTTCACGTTCAGCTTGTGCAGCAGCTGCAGGACCTCACTGATGCTCAGGCTGCCGTCCCCATTCTTGTCCGCCTCGTCAAACGTCTGCTTCAGCCACTTTGGGGCCGAGTTAGGGTTCAGCGCATCCAGCAGGGTAGCAGAGCCCCCCCACCCGCAGGAAGGAGTCGGGGGGACGGCCCAAGAGCCTCTGCCCTTCCCCCCCTCCCCCAACGTGTGGCCCGCCAGGGGCAGGGGAGCCCCGCCCAGAGTGGCCCGTGGAGGGCTCATCGCTGGGCCCCTCCCTGGGCCCTCCCCCCGCGCCCAAGGATATTGGTCCCTGGTGCGCTGGCGGCGGGCCAGGCTGTCCTCGTCACTGATGCCGGCCATGAGGTAGCGCAGCCCCGTGACCCAGGTGCGAGCTTCGTCCCTGCCGCACGAAACCAGGTCCAGCGACTCGCGGGGGCTGCCGTGGTAGATGCTGAAGCAGCAGTTGGGGTCGAAGCTGCCGTCGGGATAGCGCTGGAAGATCTCTGACTGCCGCCCCTCGCTCACCTCCTGGATGGAGTCGACGGAGACTGCGGGTGGCGGGGGATGCCGTCACAGCCCGCCCGGCCCAGGCGTCCCCCGCCAGCCCAGAGGTGCTCACAGACACAGCTCAGGACCCCTCCTAGCTCCCTATGTCAGCTGCTCACTCCAGGCTGCCTGGGCAACATGGCACGGGAGTCCAGCCATCAGTGTGCCTGGCTGGTGCCTCGCAGTGGGAGGTCTCATCTGCCCAGCGAGAATGAGGGTCCTTTCGCCTCTTGGCCCGTCCCAGCAGGAGATGGGACCCCAGCCCCAGGGCTAGGCGCTGGGGCCGCTTGTTCTCCACTGAGTCCCAGTGGGCCGCACCAGGCCAGCAGCTGCGCCTGCCCCAACAGGCAGGCCTGACCCCTCCCCTCCCACGTCCAGATGGCACCATGCAACCCCGAGGCCAACTGTGCCCATGCACCAGGTGGCAGCCACCTGGTGACTTCCCGGGCTGCCCTCAGAGTGGCCACTCTGGGAGGGTCCCTGCTGCCCTGCCCAGCCAGGCCACACGCTCACTCTTTGCCTTCTCGTTCTTGCGCGAGGGCCGCCACCGGATGCAGGAGCCATGTGCGTCCAGGAAGTAGAAGCGGGCCAGGCCCTTGGAGCTGCCACGGAGCTTCACCATCTGCGTGCCCGCCTGCATGGCTGTCATGCATCGCTCCACTGGACGCCCGCAGACAGACAGAGAGGGCACTGGTGAGCGCTGCACAGCCCAACCACTCACCCCCACGTGCTCAAGGGGCAAGAAGACCATCACCCACCCGCCCACGGGGGCCAAGTTCAGACCTCCAGGGCTGTCTTGACCACCAGGTGCTGGACCAGGTCACACATCCAGTCTGGGACCAGAATGCAGGGCCAGAGTCCATGCAGAGAAACAGACCAATTCTGCCTGACCGGCCCTTCCTGCTGGCCCTGGGGCCTGAGGGCCAGAGGACCCAGACAGGACCTGCTCCTCCACATCCAGTCACCTGCCCATCCCACTGTCCACCACCTGGACCACCAGGAACCACCATGACCTGCCCCTAAGGCCACAGCCCTCAAGGGTGGCCAGGGATGCGATGGCCGAGTCCCGCGAGAGCTGCTGTGCAACGAGGCCTCTGCCAGGAGCGGGGCAGGACTCCCATAACACCCAGCCTGGCTTGCTGGCCCACCCATAAGCTCCTCCTGGGAGCCCAGTCCCCCTTCCCATGCTATCTCCAGGAAAGTCACCCTCTCCCACAGGCAACACTCACACCTACCCCTGGGGGTCACAGAGGGAAGCTCCTAGAGGCCCAGGCCCTATACAGGGTGAGACCTGGGAAGGTCTGAGCTCCAGAACCCAAACAGTCCCCCACAGGGCCCTCCTGCCCCTCCCCTCCTCTGTTCACTTGGCCTCCTGTTTGCAGCCACCCAGGTCCCAAGGGAGGGGGTGCCAGCCAGGATAGTGGCACAGGGCCCATCACACCAGGACCCAGAAGGTGCCATCTGCTGAAGCATGGGGTTAACTCCACAAAGCCACCCAGTGTGGTGGCCTGTGGGCGGCGCCATGCTGAGGGGACTGGTCAGGGAGGACTTCTTGGAGGAAGCCCATCTCTAACCTTGACTGCAGGCACTGTGGGGGTGGGGAACACAGGGAGGCTGTACCTGGTGGGACATCAGGAGGTGGAGACACAGGTGGGGCAGCTGAGATGGGGTAGCAGGTGAAGCAGGAGATGGGGATGGGGACATGCCGAGGGGCCTACAGCAGGGCTCCAGAGGGTGGCACCCAGGCCAGGGCCCATGACCAGCTGAGGCGGGACCCCGCAGGTGGACAGCCCTGAATGGGGCCTTGTGTGGGCTCCCCACCAAGACCCTCCACTCGCCCATCACCTGCTGGGCAGGCTACATCCTCCCCACAGCAGCTCAGCAGCTAGGCGCCCTCAGCTTCCCAGGGCTGGTACGTCCAGCACCAGCATGCTGACCCCACCCACCTGCCCTGAAGGTGCCGCCACCCACCAGAGTTCCAGGAACCCTCAGCAAAAGCTTTGGAGATGCCTCAGTGCCCAGCCAGCACACCCACCTGGGCCCCGCCGGTCCGGTCCTTCCCCTCTGTCACCTGGCCTGCGCTCAACCCTGGCTGGGGGGTGGGGTCAGAGGGACAGACTGGGGAGAAGGGATGCTGCTGGACCCCCACAAGCCCAGAGGGGGCCCGAGGAGCAGGAGGCTCCTGGTTTGCATGGGGTGGGTGGTGGGGCTGCGCGGGCTCTGGCCAGGGAGGAGCAGGTCAGTCCCTGCCCCTGCCAGTTGGCAGGGCTGCCCCCTTACCTAGTGGGCCAAGCTGCTGCGACGGGGACATGGCCACACTCCCTCCAACCCAGAGGAGGGCCTCTGCCAGGCAGGCCACTGTGCCTTTGGTCTGACCAGGGATAGTTGGCCAGGGGACGGACACGCCAGGACAACGGGCACAGAGGACCCGCCCTCAGAGGCAGCTCAGGTGCTGTGGGGGGTGCATGGGCCCCTCCTCTCCTCAGAGCCCCACAGGGCCCCGCAGGCCTGCTGCCAGGCCGCCCAGCCCGCCCGCCCACCCACCAGGGTCAGGGAGAAGACCCCAAAGAAGCAGCCCCCCAGAGTCTGGGACAGGGGAGCCTCAGGGCCTCTGCCTGCCCGCCACCCGCCTCCCCACAGCCTTTGCCCGTCCCCTGCACTGATCCACGCCTGGATCGGCCCAGCTGGCCAGAGGATTTAGGCCAAGGGGACTCCCAGCTGGGGACCAGCAGAGAACCAGGTGGGTGGCAGTGTGGTGCAAGGCCCTTCCACCAGCCCCCACAACCCAGTGGCGTACTGACAAGCAGGACAGACAGGTGTGCCTACGGGGCATCAAAGGACCCAGCCGTTAAGGTCTGAGGACGCGGCGGCTCCCAGCACTGGCTGAAGGGACGCCCTGAGCCTGGGCCCAGCACTCCCTGCCCCCTTCACCAGCTCCAGGCCCCTGGCTACACAGCCTCTGTCCCTGAGGACCAGTCCCCCAACTTGACTTTGCATGGCCTGGGTGCCTTCCTCTCTGCACCTGCCCCCAGGGGCGGGCTGGCCTGGGGTGGGGGCACCAGAGAGAGCCCTCAGCCCCTGCTGACCGGATGCAGGCCCAGTCAAGGCCACACCACCAAGGCCAAGACAAGGGCAGTCCTGGCGGCAGGCAGCTCAGAAGGACCCAACATCACCCTGGGCATCTCTGGGGCATGAGGAAGGGTGATGGGCTGGCAGGAGAGACAGAGAGGACAACACGCTGCCTCTCACAGTCCAGGAGCGCTGGGCGTTGCAGGCCACGGGGCAGGCCAGCCTGTCAGGCAGGATGGCATGAGGCCTGAGGGGCAGAACCCCATGGTCATGGCCAGTGGGCAGTGAGGACTGGGACCTGATCCCGGGGACACCAAGGTCCTTCTGCCATGGGGCCCATTATCCCCCAGCCCACCCTGTGCCCCACCACAGGACCAGAACGGGTGCCTGTGTCCCGGGCAGCCAGTGGCAGCTCTGTCTACCTTGCCATAAACCCCTCCACTCCTGGGCTGTGCTGAGGCAGCAGCTGTCAGCCTCCCCTTCCACGCACAGACACAGGACAGGAGACCCAAGAGGCCGGGCAGCCTGTCACAGCACTGGGGTCCAAGGTCGGGCAGGGTGGGCACCCTGGCCGGTCTCAGAGAACTGGGGCCCCACCCCACCAGATCCGTGTAATTGACTCAAAGACAAATGGCAGAGCCCAGCTGGTAGCCTCCACCCAGAGCGTGGACCTGGTGCACTGAGCCCACCCCTCCGCCTCTCAGGCCGCATCCTTGGGCTGTAAGCCACTAGCTGATAAAGGGTCTCCTGCCATCAGCCATGGGTGCTTGGACACCCTCATCCCCCTGGGCAGGGGTTCTGGGAGGAGCACAGGCGGGAGGGCCAGGCCCCCCTCAGCTGCCCCAGGCCTTAATCCTCCACTGGCCAGGCAGGTGAAGGTCCAGCTAATCCGGCCTGACTCGGGGCTCTGCCAGCAAGGCACCTCTGCTACCCAGGTGGCCCCCATGCCGCTTCTGGTACTCCAGGAGCCGGGGCACAGAACTGCAGCGGCGGTGCAGAGCCGGGGGCCACAGGACCCCATGGAGCGCCAGGCCCTGGGGGTAACCCCAACGTCCCCATGGTGCCGCTGAGAATGCTGGCTGTGGGGGAAGGCCACACCCCGGGCGGCTGCCCAGCTGGGCTCGGACCCACAGCAGCTGAGACCCCAGAGGACTCAGGTGCCCAGGACAGGAGGCGCAGGCCCTTCCGCTCACCCTCCCCCAGGTCCTGCCCACAGCCCTGGGTCCCGACAATGCCAAGCCCTGGGAGGGTACCCCTGCCTCTCACCACACCTCCAGCTCCCCAAAGGCCCAGGACCACAATGCCAGCCAGGAGCCCCGTGTCTACACACAGTCACCCAACCAACACCCCCTCCTCCACTCCCCCAGGGCCACTCGGGGCCCAGGATGCCACACACCCCCACGCCCCTGCTGCCGGCCCAGGTGCTGCCTGAGAGCTGACCTGGACCGACACCTAGAGGGAGAAGGGCCCAGCCCCCACCCTGCCCCCACAATGGGGTCACAGAGGGACCCCTGGCGCACCTTCCACACCCAGGGCGCTCACACCACCCGGTGCATCCCCCACTGCCCAGCCCGCACTCTCACCCTGCCAGCCCCGAGCCCAGGGAGGCCGGCAAAGAAGTGCCCTGCCCGCTCTGCGTATCGCACAGGCCGCAGGCCCCAACCGCGGCCAGTGCCCCTGGCCCAGCGGTCTACATGCTCTGCCCCGGCCTGGAGCCCGGACAGCTGAAGCAGCCGCCCCTGGCCTCCAGGGGGGTCAGATGCACCTGACCCCCGCCTGACCAGCAGGCGCACAGGGAAGGCCAGCCCTGCACCCAGCCCGCCCGGCACCCCCAGGCCAGGTCAGGGGGGGCAGGAGGGCTCCGTGGGAGGGGGGTGCTCCCAGGCCCCTTCCTCCTCGCTCCAGGAGCACCGCTCCCAAGCCCCCCCCCTTGTCCTCGGTCAGTGACCAGGGGTTGACTGGTCCAGGCTCCTCCCAGCCGCCTGACAGGACCACATGCACCTGTCCACACACTGCGACCCCAGGCTCTCCCGAGTAGGATCACCCAGGCCTGTCCCGCTGGGCCCCTGCACCAGCTGTGACCAGCCCACAGTGGGCGCTCGAGTGTGGGTGCACACAAACTGGGCCCCCAGTCCTGAGGCCACCAAGCCAGCTCTGGGAGGTGACCTGGAGCCATGGCCACCGGTGGCATAGCCATGGCCATCCGTGCCCTAGGGCTGGGCCACCGCCAGGCAGTGCAAACACCTCCAGCTGCGTTCTGGCACACAGGTGGACAGGCAGGGCCACCTCCTTGGGTTAGGGACCCAGGGGGGCTTCCAGGGCCTCAGGGCGCGCAGTGACCCTATACCAACAGCCCAGAGGAGAAGGGCCATGACTCTTCCTGGCTAGGGCCCTGCGCTGTGGCCAAACTGCTGGCCCAGCGTGACACTGGCAGCAGGTAGCAGTGAGTCCCCAGGCGGCCCCCACCAGCCTCCCTGCCTCAGTGTCCCCATCAGTCAGAAGGCGCCCTCACCGCCCCCCTCCTTGGACTGTGGTTGCCTCAGGACACAGACGGCAGCTGCCCAAGGAGGAAACGCCCTTGCTGTGGGAAG